AAGTTAGTAAGAGCTTGCAATCTGCAAAATACTACAACAGCCCAAGCTGAGCTATGAGAAGATTTTGAATTAGCAAACAAAGAACTTTCTCAGGGAGGGTGAAATAGTCTTGGAATCCTTATTATTATTTCTATAACTTCAAAATATTCTTCATGTGTCTGGGAATATTTCTATACATATTCATTTTAGTAGGACAAAACATACTGTTCCATTTGTTTCTTCATCTAACCCTCTCCCCCTGTCACTACTACCACCATACACACACACACACACACACACACACACACACACATACACACACACACTTACACATTTCCTAATAAGTTAGTTCTGGACATAACAAGATTCTTGTAGACAGAATAATGGCCCCTCAAAGATGTGCATGCCTTAATCCCCTTGTGAGTATGTTACATAGCTAAATGGATTTTGCAGATACAATTAAATAAGAATTTTAAGAGGGGAGATTATCTTGGATTATATAGGTGAGTCTAATGCAATCATAAGAGTTCTAATAAGGAAAAGAGGGAGATAGGGCAGTTAGTGATAGGATGATAGAAGTAGAGGTCAGAATGACATGGGGTCAGGAGCCATGGGATGTGTCAGACTCTAGAAGTTAGAAAAGGCAAGGAAATGGAGGAAATTGATTCTGTCCTAGCACTTCTAGAAGTAATGCTTCTCTGACAACACCTTGACTTTAGTCCAGTGAGACCCATTTTGGACTTCTAATCTCGAGAACTATAAGATAATAAGTTTGTGTTACTTAGGCCACAGAGTTTGTGGTAATTTATTATAGCAGTAATAGGAAACTAACACTGCCAATTTTTCTATGCCTAAATTTGACATTGATGTGATTTCCTATAATGACCTTTGTCTTAGTCAATCTTGTGCTGTCATAACAGAATACATGAGACTGGGTGACTTATAAAGAACAAAAAATTATTTCTTCCAATTCTGGAAGAGGGAAAATCCAAGGTTGGGTGACCTTTATTTGGCATGAACCTTCCTACTACATGATCCCATGTTGGGCACAAGGGCAAGGGAGCATACACACAAGAGAGAGAAGGGGCCAAACTCATCCTTTAATCAGGAACCCAATCCTTCAAAAATAAATCCACTCCCTCATTAAAGACATTAATCCATTCCTGAGGGCAGAGACCTCATGACCTCAGTACTGTTGCATTGGGGTTAAATGTTCAACACATGAACTTTGGGGGGCACTTTCAAATGATAGTAACCTTTTGAGGGGTGTTCTTATACATCTCAAGTAAACTATCCATGCATTGCAGAGTTTGGGCTTAAGGCCCATTTTTTTTTCTTTTTCTTTTTTTTGTAGAGGTGTTTGCTATAGGGTGCACGTGCTTGCCAGAAAGAGAGAGACAGAAAGAGAGAAATCACCTCCTGGCGGCATGGCCACGCTGCAATCTCTTCTCCTCCACTCTTCTCTCGGGATTTTGGGCACACACACACACATGCGTCCAGTGTGAGTTTAAGCCATGGGGTCTGGGACTCAAACTGCAGTTGACTACATGGGAGTCCAATGACATAGCCATTACACCAACTGCTGGTTCTTATTATTTTTTTATTTCTTTTAAAACACATGAGCAAAATCTAAGTGTGCTATTTCTGGATTCTTTGTTGAGGGTAGAATTCAAAAAGCAGTTCTTTTGACAACAAAACAACAAGGAAAACAAACAAATCATTGAGCTTTTTCTACTTTGAAAATAATTGAGTAAACAAGACCAATAACCTGAAATTAAGCCAGGTGTTTTCCACAGTATAATTATGTTTAATCAGTACTTTTAGACATTGTTTTATATTCAACTCAAATCATGGGAAGAACTTAACTCCTCAACTCAACTGATGGAGATTTGTGAAAAAGAAAGTAAGTCACACACAGCAAGCTGGTCATGTCAGATTGTCACTTGATGGACAAAAATAGTAAGGGTTTTTGAAGAAAAATAGATATCACTTAATTTTATATTTAGTTTTTGGAAGTAAGATACATAGGATATAAATAAATTATGTCACCCAAAATATAACTTAAAACATCATAAATTAATCCATGTTATGGCATAAATTCAATTACTCTAGATCTTCATGAAGCAATAACATAAGTGAAGTTGGATTACAAGTTGGGTCTAAAGTGAGGTATTAACTACACAAACAGAGATAAAAGAAATAATATTTTCCTCTGGACACAGAAATTTAAAATGTAATAAGAGGAACTATCAATAGAAACAAAGTATGCAAAATCATGTTCAAGGATTGTGTAATTTACTATAACTTGATTGAAGATATGTTAAAGAAGAATATGTAGCTTTTAAATGAGATGGGGCAGAAAAGAGAGGTCTACTTTGTGAGCTTGGAGTAAAGAAAAAATATCAAAATAAATGCTCATAGAGTTCAACCAGAAACTGCATGGGATGATGTGTTGCACTCTGAGTCTGACCATTTCTGTATGGCAAAGTGTATGCATCACATGCCATTAAGTATTCAGTTCAATGAAGTTCCATTTCCTTCCTTAAACAGCAGCAAAATAAAACAAACTTCTGAGTTATGATTGGTCTCTCTGCACAGGTATGTCTGTGAACATTCCAGTTCTTAATACAGCTGGATTGTTAAGAATGTACATAAAGAACCTCTACTATATGTATTTGAGGATGACACATACCAGGTATCCTCAGGTGTCAGGTATGCCCTGCTGGGTGCACTGAAGAACTTCTACACCTCTCAAGGAGGTGGGACCAGCAGTTAGCATAATGGCTGTGTCGCTGGACTCCCATGTAGTTGACCATGGTTTGAATCCCAGACCTGGTGGTCACGCCCCTAGAGATGAATGGAAGAAGGGATTGTGGTGTGATCTTCCCCCCGGGGGGTGATTTCTCACTTTCTATTTCTCTGTCTGGTGAGCACACGCGCCCTATGGCAACAAACCTCTCAAAAAAAAAAAAAAAAACAAA